GGGCGCGGCGGGCTCCCCGCCTCTCCCCCGCAGTGCGGGCGGGCCCAGCACACAGAGAATGCAGGCGGCGCAGACCAAATGGTCGCGAGCCGAGGGGGAGTGGACGCGGAGGAGACGAAGCAGTGGCTAAACTGCGAGTTTTCTCGGGCCAAAGGAGCAGAGGCCTAAGTCAAGAGGCGTGGTCCGCGGAGGATTTGTCGCCTTTCAGCGGGCCAGCGGGTTGGAGGCGCCCGGTGGGTGAAAGGAATGCCCTCCTTCTGCAGGCCAAGAGAAGGTCCATCCTGGCGACGGCGCTGGAGGGGATGGGAGCAGAAGGCAGTGTGGGGGAGAAAACGAATGTCTATGGTTGTCCCTTTCTCCAGCGATTTCCTTCCCCACTGATGGCTCTTTATTGACTTCACCAGTCCTCAATCCCTATTGATATCAGTGACTTCCCTTCTTTCCCTCAGATCCCCCAACCCTCAGACCCCCTCACACACACCCCAGGCAGTCTGAAGCCTGCTGAAAGAGGCGTCAGGAAAACCCAGGAGTTAGACATCACACACTGGCTAGAGCACCGAAGGACAAAGGACAAGGGAGATCGTGACTTGCTCAAGGTCACATGGACCCGGGCTAAACCCAAGGGTCAGGATTGGCTCGCCAGAGCTCTTGTCACTGTCCAGACTACTTGGTCTCAGGCATGTTGTCGTCCTGAGCCGTCCAGTCTGTCCTTGGACAACCTCCTAGAATCGGTGAGGACTAAATGAGAGGGTGACTAGAAAGCACCTTTCACAAGGCCTGACAAAATTAGCACTCAATGCACGTTTGCTGGTCTTTCTGGACGCTGAGCTCCAAGGGGTCGTATTTACCCTTTTAGATTCGGAGAGCTGCGAGACTACCTCTCAGTTCCCAGGGCTGTTTGTTGAACCAGACTCTGGTGTGATATTCTATAGACAATGATAAGTTTTTTCCTCACCATTGATCAGGTTTCTACTCTGCGTTATTCATTATTTCATTCATTCAGAAAATAGTTTTGTTCATTGTTTGCCTCCTTCACTGGTCCATGATGGCCGCAACTTTATTTCATCAGCTGCTCTGCAGTATCTAAAACAGAGCTTGGAATAATTGTAGGCACCTGATTTTTATTTCTTAAGTAAATGAATTGTAGGCAACCCAGGAAGAGGAGGAGCAAGGCTGGGGAATGTGGGTAGGTCTGGAGCCCAGGAAATGAGTTTGAGAGAATTCATGGTAATAAATGTGAATTAAATAGGATGCTTTCAGTTCCAAGTAGCAGACACCTGATTCAAACTGGCTTATACAATGTGGAAATGCATCATCTCATAATGCAGTCTGTCCAATGGTAGGGCAGAGTGTGTAGATTCCCTGGTTCAACGGCATCATTAGGAACTTGAGATGCTTCCATCTCACTGCTCTGCTGTCCCTACCATTGACTTTATACTAAAGCTGGCTCCCCTCACATCACAAAAACGACTGCTGTGGGGCAGTTGAGGCTGAGTGCTTCCTTTTCCCATCTAATAGGCAACAGTAAGATTGAGTTCTCTTTCCCCAAAGTCCTAAGCAAGCATCTCCTTGAATCTCATTCGTCTAATCTGGTGTAGGCCTGTTCATCCAATGAAAAAAAGAATAAGGATGGAACTCTCAGAAAAACTTTATGGGTTGGGCAGAGGAAGGAGAGCATGTGGAAGAAATTGAGAATCACTAGAGAGGAAGTAAGAGAATCGGGAGAGGGTGATGATGGTTTTAGATAACCAGTGGGAAGAGTTCCCCAGTTCTCAATCATTTCACTATTTCTGAAAATGCCCTGCCACATCATGGTGGCCCCCACTGGCCATGCCTGGAGTCCTTGACACAACCACCTAGGCATGATACTTTAATCCAAGGCTAAACTCTGACCCAAGATGAACCAATGATAGTACCTTGTTTCCTATTGTACCAATCATGGACACTGACCCAAGGGTCATCAATTATAATCCTTCTTTGGGATTTTTCTATCTGGTGCTGAGGATAGATTCAGTCTTTATAAATGTAAAGCCATTAGAGAAGGAATAAGGGACAGAGAGGAGCTTAGTAGCATTAGAGATGCTGATTTCAGTTTTCCTTAAGGCTTGATTTCAGTGTGAAACGATCTTCTAGTAAGTCACCCTTTTATTCTAAGCAAGACAAGCTCGTGGAGCAGACTATTGGGTACCTATCAATCTTCAGCAGAGACCGAGTAAGGGACTTGGGAGCAGGGAGGTCATTTGGGAGGTAATCCTAGGAAGGAAGAGTGAGGAATTAAAGAGAATGAGACAAAAAAGAAAAACCAAACTATTGGTGCATTATGGAGGTTGCTGCTATATAGATAATGGGGCCTTGGTTCCACCAAGATGTCTGAGAAGTGTACAAATGCCTCCCAGAATTGAGACGTGAGGCTAAAGCAATTATCTACTGCCCCCTGCCTCCTCCACTGGTTGAGCATTTTTCTCTAGGGCTCTTAACTTCCTCATACTTCTGGTCTCCTTTGTGCCAAGTAGGCTCCCATGATATCTGAGAAGATCCTGAGGCAGGCATGAAGACAGAAAGGCACATCGTATGTTCGAAGTGGGATGCAGCTAGTGAGAGGTATATCTATGTATACTGTCCATCCTAACTGTGTTGTCATAATAAATTACTACAAATTTAGCAGCTTAAAACAGCACAAAAATGTGTTATCTCACAGTTTTTCTGAGTCAAAAGTCTGGGCACAGTGTGGCTCAGCTGGTTATTTGCCTAGTCTCAGAGGACCAAATCAAAGTGTCAGCAGGATTGTGGTCCTTTGGGGAGGCTTTAGGAATTAATTCATATCGCATATCACCGGCAGAATTCAATTCTATATAATTGCAGGACAGAGGTCTCCATTTCCATACTGGCTGTCAGTTGGGTGTCTTTCTCATCTTCTAAAGGCTGCCTACATTTCTTGGCCTTTGGCCCCCGTCTTCCATCTTCAAAGGCAAAAACATCAGATCTAGTCTTTCTCACACTTTGAATCTCTGACTTCCTCTTTTGCCTCATCTCTCCTACCTTCTTCTACTTTTAAGAGCACCTGTGATATATTAGGTTCAGTTGGATTCTCGAGGAGAATTTCCCTATCTTAAGGTCACTTGACTTATAACCTTAATGCTATCTGCAAAGTCCCTTAACAGCAGTAACTAAATTCATGTTTGAATGAATAAGAGGATAGAATCTTGGGGATGGGGACGTCTTTAGAATTCTACCTACTACAGAAGCTATTGTTGAAATCAAAGAGAGTCAAGGGGGTGTGATGCATGACTTTAAAGGTGTCTGCTATAGCCATTCCATCAGTTAGAGTATGTCCAAGAGCAAATAAGAAGGACAATAGCTAAATATGGCTTAAAGCAGTGCTTCTCAGATTCTAATGAGCATATCAATCCCTTGGGGATTTTGTTAAAATGCAGACTCTGATTCAGTTGGTCAGGAGTGAGGCCTGAGATTTTGCATTTGTAATAAGATCTCAGGTGATGCTGATTCTCATGGTCTCAGACCACATTTTAGGACTTAAAGTATGGTGGGCTTGTTACTCCACATTCTGAGGAATCTTCAGATAGGCTGGTTTTAGGGGTGGTTAATC